TGTGTGTGTGTGTGTGTGTGTGTGTGTGTGTGTGTGTGTGTGTGTGTGTGTGTCTGTCTGTGTCTGTGTCTGTGGATTTTTTCGGGTCATAACACTGCTCTAATGTATTTCACAGCCCTAGTACTCCTTGTTGGTCGAGCTCATGCACCCATTCAAAGAGAGACAGACATACAGCCTGTTGCTGTATGTCTGTGGGCATTCTCACACTGTGCCTTAATTTTGCTGGATGAGCCTGCTGCCAAGACTGGATTCAGGCAGCCCGCTGTTAAGTAGTAACTTGAACACTGTTGGCACTGTTGTCTCTTTCAAAGCCAAAGGGACAGACAGACAGACAGACAGACAGTGTGTCTGTGGGCGTCCGTCCCTATGTCTCAATGCGTGCCCCTGTCTGTCTTTGCCGGCCATTCTGCCCCTCTGTGTGTCTCTCTGTCCCTCTGTCGCTGTCTGTGTCTCTCTGTCGGTTTGCCTCCGCATTTGTCCCTTTGCCCATCTGCCTCAGAGTCTGTCTGTGTCTGTTTGTCTTCTTGACTCTGATTGTCTCTCTCGTTCTCTCTGTCCTTCTTCCCCTTTCTGCCTCTGATCATCTGTGTGTGTGTGTGTGTGTGTGTGTGTGTGTGTGTGTGTGTGTGTGTGCGTGTGTGTGTGTGTGTGCCTTAGGATTTTCAACACAACAACCCCTGTTCCCTCCCATATTAGTAGATCCACAATCAAATCAACTTCATCTCTATCGCAGACTGTCAATGAAGAGCACATGAGATGAGCCAATCCAACAATGAAACAGTTAGACCTCTGTAGCACGCAACATGCAGCACAAAAATAGATCCATCATTAGATCCCTCTCTTCAGTATCTCCACTTCAGTTTTCGCTGAGATCATACCCCTTTCATTTGTTCTTGCATCTCCCTTTTTACTATGCCTCTCACGTACAAGGCTGGCCACATTGATTGTGGTTGAGCGCCAGCGGCCCACATCTCTGTGTATGCCTTCATGGCACACTTGCACCGCAGTGACGGCACAACAGGAGGAAGAGTACAGAAGGGGTATACTC